ATCCCTTTGGTGCAAAGAGACACCGATGGTTCATGGTTTTTATTGTTTTATTACTTTTTAGTGGTCTAAGCTGCCCAGAGTTTTATGGGAAATGGGCAAGCTTTACAATTAATAAAGAAACAAAAGGGGATATTGCAGACATCATTTGAACTAATTTTTCCAAGCTCTGTGCCTTCCAGACATCTTGGACTAATACTCCTACATTCTCAACCTGAAAGTGGATGAAAGCTGGATTTAAACCCTTGATAAACCCTTACAGAAATTGGCTCCATTTCGCTCGTTCTCTGGGCTTTTACTGGCCATTCACAGGACAACATGACCAGTGTTTGAAAAGGCTCATATGTATTCCAAAGGCTCTTTGGGAAGTCTTCAGGAAGAGAATTGGGCTATATAACAATGAGGAGGAGTGGATGTCTTGGAGTACAGTCACTGTGAGTAGCCTCATGTGGCCAGACAGTGCAGGCTCAAACATGCTGCAGCTTGTAGAGATCTCAGTAGCTAGCAGGGAAACTGGGCTGCCAGGATGTCACTTTCAGTCTCTCAGTGGAATAGGAAGCCTAACTGACTATATTCAGGAACCTGGACTTAAAAAGGATCTGTATATCAAAGCATGTCTTTATTTGTTTATTTGTTAAAGCTGTATATTGCTGTGTTCTCAGTTTGCAGATAATCCAAACATATAACTCAAACATGTAATAACATATATTTATTTATTTATTTATTTTATTCAATTTTTATCCCGCCCTTCTCCTTACCGGACTCAGGGCGGCTATATAACCCAAACGTTCATTATATTCTCTGTGGAATATTAGTTCAAAGGCTTTTGTGCCCTATTATGCCAGTTTGATGTAGTGGTTAAGGTGCTGGCTAAGAAACCAGAAGACTCTGAGTTCTAATCTTGCCTTAGGCATGAAAGCCAGCTAGATGACTTTGGGCCAGTCACTCTCTCTCAGCCAACTCATCTCACAGAGCGGTAGTTGTGGAGAAAATAAGAGGAGGAGAAATACTAAGTATGTTTGCTGCCTTGAGTGACTTAGAAAGTAATAATTCACGAAGCATAAAAATCTAATCAATAAATAAAAATAAAATTTCAATACATATGGTCACTGCTTCCTCCGTCTCTGAGCTAAAAGTGAAATAGAAATGCGCACGCAGACATATTTCTGTTTCACAATCTAGTTTATGTGTGTATGTGTGTGTAAATGCATTGAAAGCCAGTAAGGATATATGTTCATTTCCTTTTTCTGTTTAAATCAGCAGGCCGTTTGATTGGGCCTATTAGCCTTGAAGTCAACATTTCTAGTATGTGAACCAGGTTGGCACAATCTATCCTACCTCGACATGGCACCTTGTAGATGCATTTGACTACAACTCCCAGAATTCTGAGCCAGCAAAGAAAGAAGTATGTCCCATATCTTCCATTATTTATTATTATTAAGTGGAGATGGACCAGGGAATATGAGGGAGGGGGAAAGGAATATTATTTTTTTCCTTCGTGCATAATTTCATGCTGTTTGTATCACTTTGTATTTTGCACATTTCTCTTTACTTACCTTTTCCAAGCTAATGTTGCAATCTGTCCTTTTTGAAATGCTACTGTAGCCCTTTCATAATTTTATTTGCTCTTTTCTGCACCTTCTCCAGTTCTACAATCCTAAAATTGTACATTAAATGGGAATAGTCATTTTTATTATTAATTCTTCTTTCAATAGTGACCACCAAAATGCTTTACTATGGTAGCCAGTGTGTTTATATGACGAAGTAAGGAGGAGCTGAGCATTCCTAAATGTTACATACAGTACAGATGCAAAATAAGCCCATTGAATCTGAAGCACCTCTCCTCCATTTGCTTCCTAGCAGGATGTGATTACATTATGCACAGCAACCCTTTCCCAAATGATTTAATTCAGGACTATGTTTGCAAATGTACTCATTTTTTTAATCCGGTACATGCTGTGTGGCTGCTGACCAAGCAGGTTGAATGACATCTTAAATCTTAATTTAAATGAAATGTATCCATGTTATCAGTTAGGGCACGGGTGTCAAACTCGCCACATCACATGACGTGTCGCAACTTTTTTTGCATTGCCGAAGCTGGGGTAGGCTAAGCCTCCGCATGATGCAACCAGCCCGCAGGCCGACAGTTTGACACCCCTGAGTTAGGGCTTTCTTTGTGAACCCTTTAAAATAGCACTTTTTTATTTCAGTTCAAAATAAATCTTTGAGGTATGTAGAAATATAATATTATCAACTCGTCATAGGGCTGGCAATCAGAATGGGTGTTAAATACTCAATTTTTAAAGGGTATTTTGAATTTGCAAGATGGCTCAGTAAGGACCTCTTACCCAGAATGGAAAACTAGCTCTATTTCTTAAAATGTAGCTGGCACTGCAAGGACCAAAATATAACTCATAAAAATATAGAGGGTTCCTGCATGTGGCCCTTTATGGTCAAATGTAGCTGGCTGTATTTTCCCATCTCTCTAAGCGAGCCAGGCAATGTAATGAGCCTTTCCAGTCAGTTAACCCATAAAGTGACCAATTTCAGCATATCTTGGCACATGATGTGCAGTAGCCAATTGGGACACTGGAGGGCTTAGAAAGATTCATAGTTTCATTTGTCTAGCTGAGCATGGAAAAGTCTTGTTGGCTTTGTGTGCCAGAAACTTACAGTCTCAAAGAAAAATCTGTATTCAGATTTACAGAGTATAATCTCTTCATTTTGCACAGCTATTGATTTCTAACAATTTGTCCGTCACAATCCTAAAGAAAGCATTCTATTTGGGGGGGATCGCAGAGAAAGGAGATACAATCCAGTGCATCCCTTTTGAACTTTTCTCCAGGAAACCTGAAGAGATTCCACAAATATTCCACAAATTCCATTAGAAGAGAATATTTGTAGCTCAGGGTTGAAATGTGGGGTCCTTGATGCTCACTGAGCTTGGTTGTTTCATTACCAAATTAGGTAGCATCAGTTAGAGAGCACTGATGATGTTACCTAGTTTGGTAATGAAACGTCTGTAAGAAAAGAATCAAGCTCAGAGACCACCAAGGACCTCACACAAGTATGATTCCATAGCCCCTCCCTCTGAATCATTCAATTCTCATTTTTTTGGAATTGGGAATTATTAGGTGCTCTTTGGATAGGAATTTGAAGCAGAAATGCAAAGTCCTGCTCACCAGTGCAGCCGGGCTACGTTACTACATTTTAAAATAAGTGGTTACATACAACATATAGCGAGGAAGAGGTTTCAATCATAATGTCCTGAGTCCAAAGCGAGTGCTTCAGTGGCTGAGAACAAATGTAAAATTGCTGGTTTCTAGCATCCCCTTCTTAGTGCCTGTGCCTGCGATATGGAGTTAAATCAGTTCTCTGGCTTTAAAATGACAGAACTTTGAATCAAACACTTCATCAATTTGTTATTCTACAAACTGGCTGGCAACTTCTATTGTAGCATTAGTAAGACTGTAAGATTATTTGCAGAAGGTTTAAGAGTCAAATGGGCTTCAGGATAGTACCACAGTTTGCAGCTGTAAAGTCTTTTGACAAAGCAGGAGTCAAAGCAATACATTATAATTCAGTATTATCTTGCAAAAGACAGGGAGGAATAGAAAGCTGCCTTGCGTTCTACAGAATTGATGGCAGAAATGACTGAACTGAAATAAATGAATAAATAAATTAACTATAAATATCCTGGTTCACAGTTTACTATGTGCTCATATAAATTTCACTCTAGAGTAGTATTTCTTAAAGTGTGGTCCAAAAACTATTGGGGGTCCCCCAAGACCCTTTCAGGGGTCCATAAAATTAAAAATTAATCGCCATATATTGAAGACATTTGCAAATATTTAAAACAATGCCGCTCTTCTGATTATTTTTTTATTTAAAAGAGTATAGGATTTTTCAGGAAATGTATTTACTGACATTTATTTATGTTAGTATCTAATGGGCTTAATATTGTTATTTTTACATAATTCAGTAAATATTCTGTGAATGCACTGACTTTCATTTTTAATACAGTAAATATCAATAAATGTAACCCATACAAACAAAATCTCTTTTTGATCCCCCATAATTTTTAAAAGTGGGAAGAGTTCCTGCAGCAAAATGTTTAAGAAACACTGCTCTAGAGTATGTCCACCCCTTCCTCACTGAATACATTGTAATTTAAGAGAAATTCCTGCCCCATCTGATTGTTGGTTTTTGGGCAAATGAGATATTGCTTTCTACTAGCCATTAAAAAAAACTCTCTTAGCAACTGCGCTCCTTGATAGAATACTCTTTCCTGGCCTGGTTATTTTGCAGTGTTTAAAAGAGATACATGCGAACATAGCCCAGTTGCTAAACAGTGAAACACATACATTGCCTCTCTCCAACAGCTACAATAGACTGGTCTTCTCTCTTAGCATTTATCACCTGGCCACTTAACCTCAAGAATAATTATTGACCCGTTGTAGAGGGATTATCTTCGCTTTTCCCCTAGCTTTGGCAAAAAGACCCGTCAGTCTTCACAAAATATCAGGCTAGGGTTCATAACAAGAGCACATCAGCCCTTCAGTACGATAAAGCATGCACTGATACACGAGCGAAATGACATTTTTCAGCAGGCCAATTCCACAGAAGCATTAACCAGGTCAGTGGCGTACCACCACCATCCCGTTTTCTTTCCTATGTGTGGAAAAAGGGCGTACATACATTTTGTGTATCAGACAAAAATTCAACAGGTGCACCTTTTTTGGAATAGAAGCACAGAGCCAGGAACAGCTGTTGAATTTCTATTTGCTGGGTATCTAATCAAAGTACCCCAAAACTGGGAGAAAGAGAGACAAAACCGAACAAATAGCTTTGCTGCTGCTTTGCTCCTAGCAAAGACAAATCTTTGACTGTAGAAAAAAAGGGGAAAATGGGTACTGACAGGGACAGCACAGGGTAGAGTGAAGTTACTTCAGAGCTTCCCCGAGGCCCCAGTCTTCCTTTCCAGAGAAATAGTTCTTACTCACCTGGAATTCCTCAGCCAGCTGCCCTTTCTCCTGCCCAGCCTTAGCTTCCACCTGGGCTAGAAAGCCCTTTAGGTATTCTTTACAACGACTCATCCCTCTGCTCAAGAAGAAGGATCGAGAGCAACGTTGGAGCTGAAGGTTCTGAAATGCTAAGAGGAAGTTGACATCCTTGCACCACGCCTCCAGATTGTGGCTAGTGGGATGGGCCCAGCAGACCTGCCTGGCTCTCTGCCTGCTCTCTGGGAAGGGATGGTAGCTTTCCAGCACACTGTGAACAGGGTGTAAACGTTGAGAAGAACCTGAGAAGCACAGCTCAACCAACACTGTTCTTTGTACTATCTCAGGATTTACAGCACAGATATCTGCTGTTGTAGTAGCATCCTTAATTGTCAGTTTCCCATGTAGTATCTGGGGGAGATTGTGCCCCCTAACAAGTTCCTTAGTGTACACATAAATACCTCGCCCTGCCTAATTTATTTATTTTTTTAAAACTAAAAATTAATGGGAAACCAGCATGCTTCAAAGAAAAGCATCAGCTTGAAGTCTACCCTGTATTTCCAACCATGCCTCTTGACTTTACTAGCATTCTTAGAAAATAAAAATGCTGTGTGGCCGAAATCCTCCTTAGTAGTCATTTATACACGTAAAGATGTTGTACGAGAGTTTTAATGTATATACAGTGGACAAAGGGAGATAAACCATAAAGTTCAAAACGATCGTGGAACTCTACAACTTACTCATCTTTTCGTCCTCGAGTTAGTTAGTTTATTTATTTACTTGAACAGGTTCTTTGACGAATTGGACAATCTTGACGAGAGTCGACGTTGTTATCACATATTTGTGTCTCATGGCATTTTTTCCATGTTACATTTGCATCACTAGTTCTAACCTATGTGTGTTTCTTGTAAATACTGTAGAAAGTTTATCTTCACAATAGAGGGACACCATTGTATAAACGTTGACATCATTTTATTATATTCTTCTCCTGTGTATAGTCTCTCTTGCGGTAAAAAGGCATAGGATTTAGTTATTGTTCTATTGCTGCAGTAACAACATAAATTATGTACTCTGAAAACACATTTCCGTGGACTAATTCAGCAGGTGGATGAAATAACCAAGTCCAGGAAATAAAAAAAAAATTATTGTGGCAATGCAAATGATGTATTTTGTATAATTTACATTATTTGCATAGTAACATCATCGCAGGAATATCGCTACAATTTGGTCTACTGAACCAGGCAAAGTCTGTTCAGTTGAAATCAAGAAAACTGAGGACTCACTGTATATGGAATTTCTAAGCTTGTTTTTTTCCCCCATTTTAATTCCATTTCTTGGTTCTAATCCTCATGGGTTTCCAATACACATGGTTTCTCACAACAGAGGATTTAAATGCTTTATTTTAAGCAGTCACATTGCATTTTCATTTTGATTTCCCTCATTCACAAGTTCCCATTACAAGACCACATTGTGCTCACTTTGCTCAGTTGGGTGAGGGCCTTGAGAAAGAAGTGTGAAGCAATGTGGTTTTGGAATCTGAAGTGAAATTGAATTAGCTTTAGTTAAAAATGTAACAGAGCAAAAAAAAAAAAGAAGTAGCTCAAGAAATACCATGATGGTCAGTTATTAAAGGAAGAGGGAGTGTAATGAGGTTAGCTTATGATATTCGCAACAGAAAGCTCCTGACAATTAAAAAAACAAAAAAGGCCAGGAAGAGGGATGACATGTAGTATCCCTTCAGGCTCATTATAGCAAGTTCTTAATTCTTCAAAGAGGATAGACCCAAGAATGACAATGGATTAGCCTACAAGGATGCATATATACTAGATTTATATCTAGTAAGTAAAGTATTCAAGGCAGCTAGTGGTGACTAAAATAGGAATGCAAAATGGAAAGGTAAGAAGCATACATAAAATTTAGTACCGGCTTTAATGAACAATCCTGGCAAAAGTGATGGATTTTTGGTTTGTTTGTTCTTCTAAAGGTAGACCAAATGGGAGCTAATGATAATTGTCAACGGAATACATTCAACAACTTTTCCCATAGCTAGTATGCTGTAGTGATTAAGATGTTGGATTAAGAGCAATGAGACTGAGGTTCTAATCCTTCCTCACCCTGGGTGACTTTGGGCTAGTCACTCAATGGTGAAAAAAGTAAGGTTCTACATTTAGGCAAGAAAATCCAAATGTACAGGTATAGTACTATAGGGGGTACCTTGCTCAATAGTAGTAACTGTGAGAGGGACCTCGGAGTCCTAGTGGACAATCACCTAAATATGAGCCAGCAGTGTGCTGCAGCTGCCAAAAAAGCCAACACAGTGCTAGGCTGCATTAACAGAGGGATAGAATCAAGATCACGTGAAGTATTAATACCACTTTACAATGCCTTGGTAAGGCCACACTTGGAA